CAAGGCTCCCTCCAGGAAACTCTGAAAGCCATTTTATTACCTTGCAGAATTCCCAGTATGGATGGTTTCCCAAGAGGTTGAGGAAGTGGCTCTTCTCTGCCAAGGTGATGATGTTTTTTTGTTTTTTTTCATCTTGCCCTCCCCAGTGAGGCTGGTCACTCATGTTAAGTCTGTACCTTTAGTGGCCAATCTTTGGGTATCAGGTTCTGGAACTGAGTTCAGGACGAAGGCTATGCTACATCTCTCCTCTCTGTCTCCTATTTGCTCCGCCCCTACATTACTATGCATAAACACCCTCCTAGTTTCAGTCAAAATGTAAACTCCTCAGCAAATCAATTCAGATAAATGAATTGTTATTTGAATCTCAGTTTGTGTAGGAGATTGAAACTAAAGAGAAAACGAGATGTTAGAAGAGCAGCGGCTTCCATGAGGCTCTCTGTGGGTTACTGGCTAGCATACATAATGATGGGACTGAGACAATCAGATAGCGATCTGGAACAGCTAAGCGAAAGCGATTGATGTGATACTTGTGTGGATCACATGGGAAAACTTCAGAATTTCAGTCCCAAAGCCTGTGATCTGTTTATAGCTGTATGACTACCTACTTGCTGAATCCTAAAGAATGCAATTAAGGTATGCAATTAATCAGCACCTTCCTCTTCTGTTAATTGTAGGTATGTGCATACACTAAGTCACTTTCAGCTTTGTGAGTCTGGGGAAACAATTTCTATACTGGTAGTTTGGTACCAAATGCTGATGTATTTTCTACTTACATACTTGAAACCATACTATGTCTAAACCGAAAGTCTATAAATAATCACTAAATCAATATTTACAGGATGTCTGCATCAAGCACAGCTTTATGTAAAACAGGATGAAATGGAAAAAAAATGGAACACGCTAAGACAAAGACTTTTCAAGAAAGTGATATTAAGACATAAAACTGCTTCAGATATAAATTATGTGCATGGGGGACTTTTGGACCCAAGCAAAGGAGCAGAGAACAGTCATCATGCACCCTGTGATGTGACAGGAGGGGTTGTGGGAATTGATGGGGAAATGCCAGACTTCCAGGAGAGGAGAACACTGAGACAATGTGCTTGCAATGAAGGACCTATAGGAAAGACTGGCTGGGAGGGGCCAGAGAGAGATGGAGTCCTCTGTTGTGCTTGCTGTCATGTAATTCCAAGGGAAAGCATTGGAATCTCATCCCATCTTTCCCACAGAGCAAGGAGAGTATTGTGCTTTTATCACGTGAAGGAAGTGTGTGCTCAAGATAAAGACTTCCCTGTGAAGACTGAATGTTGATTCCATATTAACCTTTAAATTATGCGGTAAAGCTGAGAAAAGCTAACTGAGGAGCAGAAAGGAATGACATCACCAGAAACTTCACAAACATCTATGATGTTGCCTGGGAAGACTCTTGGGGGACTGCTCTCCGGCAGGAAGAGATGAAGAAACAAACATAAATACAAAGTCTACATTTGGTTTGTGCCTTGAAGCCACTGGCATTAATTAAGATTCTACGGCTTCCAAACAATTATGACATAATTAAAGTAAGATTCTTTCTACAGTAAAACGATAAGAAATGACTTTTAGAAACCATGGGAACCATTAAAACAGCACATCGGCATCAAAATGAGCAATATTTACTAGTATTAACACTATTAAAACGCCTTTGAAGACAAACTCGGGCAATTATTACGCAGAACAACTCACATGTGGAGACAGAGAGCAGTGATAATTAAATCCCACACTCTATATATCTCTCTTTTTTGTATTTGACAGAGCAGTCTTTAAGAGAATCTATTTTAACGGCGTTGAATTAGCAAGACATTCAAATAGAGAAAGGGCACTTAGCAGGAGGTCGGTATTCAAGGAGACACAGCCTCTATCATCATTGTTATTTTTTATTATTCTTACTCTTTTGGAGACACTAAAGCTCCATTGGTGGGCTGGTATACACACAGATAAGTTCAGTCTCTGCCCCATAAACTTTCTCTAATGGTGTAGCACACCCTTAATTACAACGGACAATGTGCAGCTAAGTTGGGTGAATTATGCGGGGCTAATAGATGGAGCACTAGAGACTTGGGTCATTGGTTTGGATCAGATGGCAAGCCTGTGTCCAGCTGATCAAAAGCATCTTGGCAAAGCACGGGGCCTTCCAGGAAATTTGGAGGCCTTGAATGTTAGGCAGATGAAAACACCACTCCAGTTAAAAGCAATCTTAATAGTTACTGAAATGGTTTATTTTCTTTCTAGTGTGTGTGTTTAAAAAGATTCATGGGGGGAAGGGGGAGGTTGCCTGGATAGTAGGCTGTGTTCAGAGTGAGAAATAAAAGAGAGACGGTGAAGAGCCTGTGTTCTGATTCTGTTGTTCTGTAGGGTTACATCATCCCAACACTCAGAAAGGGAATAGTAAGGACATTAGCAGTTCCTAAACACACATCAGTATTTATTTGAAAGGCTATAAGACTGTTTCTTAAAAAGTAAGTAAATATCCTACCGAACTATTAGTGATATAAAAGGAATAAGGATAAACAAGAGGGATGAGAAGGAGCCAGAAGCCTCACACCCTAAATAGGCTCTACCTACCTTCCTTAAAACATACAGATGAAAAGACAGCATAAAGGGACATCTCCTGCCTCTGTGCCCAGAAGTAAGACTCTTGTCTACATGCTAAAAATAGTATGCTTTTTCTTTGTTTTGCAGACTGAGGGACTGAGCTAATTGATTCAAACTACTCTGTACCCACCAATAACTATTGTTACATTTCTAGAATGGATTCTGGAGCTTGAAGAAGAACTGCTCAGTCATTCTACCATTGTGCCAAATCAATGTGTTATGTCAGAACACAGGAAATTGTCTTAGTATTTTAAATGTTGCTAAGTGTTAGAGCAAAGGTCCAGAGTCATTAGAAGGCAATCTTGGGGTTCAAAGGGAGAGAATGCAAATTATAGAGAAACTTCATTCTGATCTTCAGCTTTTAGGAGGGATGCCAGGGAAGGTAGCTAGGTGCAGGGGCGCTGGCATACCCTTAGAGTTTGAACACGATGTGGGGGGAGTTGATATTACTTCTGAGTAGTAATTAAAGTATCTCACACTTTGATGTCTTAAACATTTGTTGTTAGCACACTTTCTGTGTCACATTTTTTTTTTGCTCAGACTGTGAGTTCATAGGAGCCTGAAGGTGTGCCTTTACCATCCCAGTTTCACCTTTGGAGGTGAAACAGAAGGGTCACATGTTCAGTGCCTACATGAATTTGAGAGTTCAAGGTTGGAAAACTGGTAAGACCCTGTGTCCACATAAAAAGTATAAAAATGTCTGGGCATGAAGTTCAGTGAAACTATGGGTCTGATCCACAGTACTGCCAAAAAAATTAAAATATAGTATTTGACACTGGTATGTTTTAATTTGAAATTTCATATTAATTTTTATAGTGTTTGCATATATCTAATAAATTATCTTGAGGATGAGGCTATTTCTACACATAAGCTTCATGTGCTTCATATATACCTTATACATGCAAACTGAAGGTAAGTTTATGCTGTAATTCTAAGTACTTTTATGAATATTGACTGTGACCCTTCACACTAATAAGGTAATGTTTGGAATTTTCATCAATGGTATTGTGCTAGTATTCAAAAAGCTTTGGATTTCAAAGCTGCTTAGATTTTGCATTTTCACAGCAGGGGTGCTCTGTCAGCATTTGTGGGCAGGCTAGGCCTCCAAAGCTCTGGCTATAGCATGTGTATCTCTACAGTACTAAAACAGTTGCTGATACAGATGCTGGTGGATGAGTAATGTAGCATGGGCTTGATCTATAATCATTCATGGCTTCGTGGAGTGAGGGCACAGAAATTGGCTATAGGGAAGAAATGGAGACCATTGAGGATCAAATAACCAGCCCTTCCTAGTTTCCATAAGGCCTCTCTGCCTGATGGCCTCCAGGTCACCCTTCTGCTTCTTGACATGTGTCTAACACACTGTCTTGTTTACGGTGACCCTTCTATTCCATGTCTTTCCTGTTCTCTGCTTGTCCATGTCATCCACTTGGGATTCTCACCTTTTTCATTTTCCTATAACATTTAGAATCTATACCCTTTGATTGTTTTATCACACAGTCACCTGACTTACTATCTAATCCCTTTAGGATGATAGAGTTCTGTCATTTATGAATTTAAAAGAAGAGTTGACTTCCTTTCATTTCCTCCTTGTAGTGTGCCATAATGTCGGACATAAAACATCCACAACTTTTAGAGTCCAACTGAATATTTTCACAAAATAATCATAAGCACTCAGTATTAATTAGACCATGCGAAACTATGCTGAACTATGAGAAATATGAAGGGATCCTCCAAAATTTCAATGGCTTAACAGTAAAGATATGGTTTTACCCATCCATGGTTCCCTGACTATTCTAGTTCTCCAGAAGGGTTTTCTTCCATGACCACCTTCATAGTACTATAGGCAGGGAGAAGAGTACTTCAAGGCAGTCAAAGATTTTCATCATCTGTGCTTACATTTCATTGATTTCCATAAGCCATGGGAGGAAGCTCCACCCAAGAAAACAGAAAGGGACCAGACATTGTCAGGCTCAGCACAAGGCAGTGAGACATTAATGGGCAATTCTGCTATACTTATAAGGACTATTGTAAGAATTCCAGGCAAGGGAAAAGTGCAGCATTTTCCTCAGATACATTAACAGTCAGGCAAACTGAGAAAAATATTCCAAAGACATAGTTTGGAGGCAGAGAAAAATGTATATATTGTTCACTTTCAGGAACCACAGTTAAAGAATGATATATATTTTAGTACAAATTCTTGATTCTTATTTTTTAAAAAAGCAAGGCCCAACTGACTATTACATTGAAAGGGAGTCACTGGTTGGGAGTTAATATATCAAAAGCATATGAATAAAATCCTAGTAACCATGTTAACAAACGGAATAAGTGTGATATTTTATAAAGGGGATGCTGGTTGCACATTAAATTCACAAAAAAGAAAGGTTTATGTGAAAGGCAAAGTTAAAAAAAAAGTCTAATTAGATGGTGACATAGACTATGGATGAGCAGCATCTGACAAGGAAAGATAAGCAAACACCTTGAATTATTGAGTGTATACAAATCAGCATGTCTCCACTCACTCCCGTCAAGGTTACCAGGAGCCAGACAAAGAGATGAATGACACACACCTTCATTATTTAGGCCAATTCTCCAGTCTGTCTGGAGGTGATTGGGTTGCCCAGATAAACCATTTAACGTTTATCCCCAAGCAGTGGGTCAGATAATAATTTATCTCATTTGGTCTCTAAAGAAACTTAAAAGAAAAAAGGACCATGAAATTGCCAGCTCTCTTATTCAACCGTCTTAACTCTGAGTCTGATTGATCTCTGACCATTTGCTTGATTGAACTGTTGCTCATCCTAGCACATTGAAAATGTTAAAGACATTTTAAAATATGCAGATTTGGTCAGAATGTCTAAACCTAGGGAAAGTGTCTCTTAGAGAAGAGCAAACCATTCTATATGGTTGTTTTGACAATCAATAGCATGTCTTAGATATGTTAAACGTATACTATTAAAAACAGAAGGGTTGCATCCCCAGAGACATGCCTGGGAAAACATGAATCTAAGTACATAGAGCATTTCCGCAACAGAGTCCATCAGGACTAATGTTTATTGGTCACCAGATAGTGGAGTAGAGATCTCTGGGTTTTGAGGATATTTTGTGCCTCAGTGGTTGCTGGCACCAGTTGAGACACCCCAACTGAGACCTGCATTTCTTGCTCTTGCTTAGCTTTTTGAATATGTTGGCTTGACAGTACTTATTTATTTATTTATTTATTTATTTATTTATTATTTCACAGTAAAGACAAAGTTTTCTGTTTGTGCCCTGACCCTGGTGAAATATCTATTAAGTAGATTCTATATCTTTGGCATTTAATGAATGGATTTTGGAAGACATGAAACTCAATTCCATCATGTGTAGTCGGAAGGTTTCTCCAGTCCCTCTCAGGCCCATAGCCACTCAGACCCAAGTAAACACAGAGAGGCTTATATTATTTACAAACTGTATGGCCTAATGGCTCAGGCTTCTTGCTAGCTAGTTCTTATAACTGAACCCATTTCTATTGATCTATAAATTGCCACGTGGCCACAGCTTACTGGTACTTTCACATCTTGCTTCTCTTGGCGGCGGCTGGCATCTCCTCTCTGCCTGTACCTCTACTTTTCTTGTCTCTGTCCTGGATTTCACCTGCCTATAAGCTGCCTTGCCATAGACCAAAGCAGTCCATTTCTTAACCTATGGAAACAACACATATTCACAGCAGAATATACAGAAAGACATCCCACAGCAACCATGAATGAAACCTCTTCATCATAATTGCACACCATCTTTAAAGCTTTCTCCACAAGACCGATGATTATTAATTTTTATCACCATCTCTGTTTGGTTTCATCCCCCCAGACAGCCCATTGTGATGTCAAGAAAGAATTCTCATTCTTGCTTAGTGGTTTGGGCATGGGATTTTTCAAAGTTATAAACCACAATATACACACATAGTTTTAAAAGTAATAATGAAGGTAGTCATAACTTGTCACAAACACCATGGTTTTAATGAAGAAACACATCTAAGTGAACTGGACACAGAGCTAAAAGTCTTGCCATGGAAAATCTCAGCCACCTATTCAGACTCAAATTTAGGAGTCTAGCCCTGTCTAAATCCTTAAAAATTAAAACTGGCAGTAGCATTAACATAAGCAGATCAACCAAGTATTCCTAAAACCACAGCATTTTCTAGAAGTATTAAGGAAATAAAGCACAGAAGGGTCCTTCACAATTCACATTCCCTTTCTCCCAAAGTATCTGCTCATGACTGGTTCTCACAGCAACCCAAGCTCTCACATACTGTCCTGAGAAATCTGTCTGCAAGGCCAAGCAGAGGAATGAAAGATGGATTTCAGAAAGGATTCTATTGGAGATTAAACCAGAAATCCCTATGGATTCCACTGCTTTACTCCTCCTACAGAACCAGCAAACTAAAAATGATAGAAAGTCTGGCCTGTATCCATTTTTCCCAAGACTCTGGAAATAAACATCTAACATCTCTTATAACTACTTTTAAACCAATATTGTTTATGGACACTTTACCATAGTTTACAAGATAAATCTAGGAATGGCTGAACTAAGAAATACTATCCCCAATCTCAAATTTGATAAAAATAAGTTTTTTATTATAATTTCTTTTGAAAATTAGGCAAAAGATATTGTACTTACATTTGTGGTTGTATTTATAACTAGATCTCCATTCCACTAGAATAACTATATGCAACATTTTATTCATGTGATTTAAACAAAACAAATGGTACTGTATTTAAGTAAGATTATCTGTTTCCCATACAAAGTTTTGTAGCAATCTGTATGCCTCAGTTATCTCTGCTCAGAAGACCCCTGTGTGTTCCTCTCCTTCCTCTTCCCTGATTGCAGATGCTTCAAAGATGTGGATGTTAGATGTTGCCAGCCACTGTCTGCCCCATCTTTCCTAGGAAAGTACAGAGCAAATCCTTCCTAAATAAATTCATCTAAGGTAATCCATGTCCTCAAATGACTACAGCTTTCAATCTAATTTGGTTTGTCCTCAGACCCAAGTGGAAGGTAGGAAGCTGAAAACATTGGCTTGAATGAAGAAGAACTGCAGCTGGGCAAACAAATTAAAAACTGAAATTATCACCATCCCTCCAGCTGTTTCTTCCCCACTTTTGATGAACCTTGGGTTAAAGCAGGAAAATTAAATGGGGTATTGTGCTGTTCACAGGGGCTGGAGCATGTATTTCCTCTGATCTGCTGCATGTTTGCATGGAATGGGATAGCCATTTCCCCACTGAATGTCACTTTGGGTTTTTGTTCCTTCTCTTCTGAACATGCCTAGAATGTACCTCCAAGTGAGTCTTTAAACAACCAACCAGTCTGTAGCAGCCACTATAGTCCCTCTGCCCTTCACCACTCAACAGTCTATCGTGTGGTCTTTGACACAATTTTAGGATCCTGTAAGCTTAGGTTTGAGAACCATGGTACCAGACGCAGCAAGTCCTGGTGAAAGAATGATCAGATGTGGAAATGTTTCTGTGACACTTTGGGTTCCCCATCACCATCAAATATTGCATTCTACTCTCTGAGACCCTCACTCTTTCAACTATCTCCAGAGATTCAGGAATGAAGTAATCAAGGCCAAGACAAGCTACAGGGATGAGGATGCGACTCCCTTTTCATTGGAATACACTTTTTAAAGTTCTGTTGCTTGCTTTCCTAAAGTCATGAACCTCTCAGTACCCTACATGAGGGTATTTCTTCCCCAGCAGACTCCATCCCTCAGTTTGCCTCCTTCATGGCCTCATAGATGATTTTGTAGTCTGAACCTAGGAATGTCAGAATGAATCCCACTATTTTATTTCCATAGTTAATTTTATTACTTTCTGATGAATCAGATGTATAAGAACAAATGCATCAATAGTGGGGAAAATTCAAAAATAAAATGGAAACATACTCCTGGTTTTGTTCCATTTTGAACCAACAGTTCACTAGCCCTGGAACACATTACTGAAACCAGGCTGTGTTTGTTTTTAATACCAGTGTGCTTGTCATATAATATAACAGCTTTTTATTTTCAACGATATTAACTGTCTGCAGGGAGAAAGAGGTAGCAGACCTCTCCAGGACCTGAGAGTCTTATAAATAAATGAGTTTTTTAACCTCTACTGTATTACAGATATCTTTTCAATATAATATTAAGAACCTTTGTGACAGGATCTGTCATTTTAAATACAAAAAAATGCTATGCCCATGGAATAAAAATACTTACTTGGCAGATGAAAAATATTTTTACTCCATTTTTACTTCCTATGGCTCACAGTTTAGGAACCATTGTTGCTACACCTGGCTGTAGTCACATGAGGACACTGAGAAGAGAATGACTAGATAAAGCAGGGGTGGGGAACCTCAGTTGAGGGATGGTCAATCCTAGTGAAAAAGCTTCACAATATCTCTTTTTTTCCTCAAGTCCACTCATCTCCATCTTAAAGTTTGAACTAACTCGATACAGCTGGAAACATTGAGGACTTCCAGAAAGTTCCCTGTAGATTATGAACACGAGCACAAAGAATATCGTTATGACCTAGCACTTCTCAGGCTCCCTCAATATCCAGAGACTAACTCTGGTCTCAAGAGGCAAACAGCTACATCACATGCTTGGGTATGGAACAGTCAACAGTGGGATGATGGGACATTGTTAATACCAGACAGTTTGGAACATTTATCATGCTTAAAGCTGTGTGCAAGGTGTCTCTGGACTCAAAGCAACATCTGTTCTAAAGAAGCTACAGTGTCCAATTGATATATAATGCAATATCCTTGCATTTAAATGCATTTTAAAGGCCATTAAAATGAAAATAAAAAACTGTATGTGTCACACAAATAACAAATAGTGAAAACATGAAACCATGTCCATGGTTTTATAGTTAACTAAGATGATTACTTTCTTTAATATTGCATCTGATGACAGAATAATAAAAAATGAAGGGTTAAATTATAAAGATTTATTTGATATGTTAAACAGATAATACATGATAGACACATGATAGAAAAGAGATGACATATATATATACATATATATATATGTATATATAAATAAATAGATAGATGGATGATAGATCATGATCATCTCAAATGGTCCATCAGCCACACTTGAGGTACAAAAAAGGGTAATGGAATTTTCCATTTTCATTCCAACCATGTATCTTTTGGCAAGTACAATAATTGTAATGTTTCATTAAAGTTAAAAAAGATGTATAAATTCATGTTAACTTCTCTTCTTGGTTTTGAAGAAATATCTTGGGTCTATTAGGTCTTTGATAGAATATGATGAAATCTGTCTTTGGTCTGTTGTTTCTCACCACTGTAGTTCAGCACACAGAGGACCTCTGCTTCATTGCAGCTCAGGGGTCACACCTGAGGTTGACATGAAGATAGTTCCATTTGTAAAGGTACCACTCAAGGAGCTGAAAAACAGTTGTTGTTTGTATTACTTAGCTTTATCTTTTAATTTTCTTAGTAACTGAGACATTACTATAAAGAATTTGTAAGATGCAAACTCCTCACACCACAATGAATTTCTACAGAGTTATAATAATTCTGGGGCTTCATATTGGTTTTACACTTTCAAAATCAATCACTTAATGAAATTGTCCACCAGTTTAAAAAAAAAAGGGAGGAAAATCCATGACAGAGTTCAAACTAAAAAAAGAAAAATTAGATTTATATTTTTTCAGGACAAACCCTTTGTTAGTTAGTGTTGTGTAATGGGAACAAGCACCTAATTCATTTACAATGAATAATTGTAGATAATTCATTTACAACAAGTTAAGTTTGGCATCACAGTTTATAGAGGATTCTTCCCAAGACCAATCTGTTCTGTTGCTTTGAGGCTGTGACAGTATGTTACAGTGGGTGTGATGGTTTGAGTAAGAGTGTTTGAGTATGATACCATTGGATCATATGTTTGAATGTTTAGTCACCATGGAGTGAGACTCTTTGAAAGAATCACAAGGATTAGGAGGTGTGGACTTGTTAGAGTAGGTGTGGCCTTGTTGGAGAAAGACTCCTACTAGGCCAAATCTCTCTCTGTCTCTATTGCTGTCTGTCTGTCTGTCTGTCTGTCTGTCTCTCTCTCTCTCTCTCTCTCTCTCTCTCTCTCTCTCTCTCTCTTCTCTCTCTCTCTCTCTCTCTCTCTCTCTCTCTCTCTCTCTCTCTCTCTCTCCTCTCTTTCTTTCACACGCATTCTCTCTCTTGACCTGTGGATCTGGATGCAGCTCTCATCGACTCCTCCAGTACAATGTCTGCTGTATACTTCTCAAAAGGATAATAATGGATTAAACCTCTGAAACTCTTGGAAGCATTCAATTAAATGTCTTCTTTTTATAAGAGGTGTTTTGGTCATGGATTCTTTTCAAAGCAATAGAACTGTGACCAAGACAGTGGGTACCCAAAACAGAGAAAACTTTATACCTCACAACGACGGGAAAGGAGGCAGGAGTGGAATCTAGGAACCCAAAATTTACTTAAAGATTATTTTTTCTCATTGACTTTACATATTCTCATAGTTCAGCCTCAGAATGCATCTGTTGCAGCAGGTATCTTTTACAAACTTAGCAAGTTCTAGAAGTATCTTTCCCCGCCATATCCTTTTCCCATTCTTTCTGCTTCACTCTCATTACCAACATTTTGCCGTGGAGCATACGAGATTTTAAATTATAACTTTGGAGTAAGGCCTGCTGTGGTGGCTGATATTTTGTACCGTATGCTTATATGAATATGGAAAGGATTTTTCTCCCAGTGACCTTTCCAAAGGTTTAGGTTATTAAGATGAATTTAAATATATTTCTTTTAATTACTGTACTCTTAGAATATGAAACCCAGGTTTATTTTCAGTAGCTAAACTTGAAAAGATCTTTTAAACTTGTTGAGTTTGGCCTTTGCAAAATTGATTTTTTTTTTAAAAAGTCAAAAACCAAAACAATCAAGCAATTTTCCATTATTCCTGACTTCAGCTTGGATTGAAGTTTTAAATCAAGTATTTGGAAATGTCACTGTGGAGAGAAGTAGAAACATCTGAACTAATGGCATGGCGGCCGACTGGTTTGCTCTTTCTCCTGGATAGAAGAGAAAGCGGGGCTTTGCCATAGGTCACATGCTTCAGATATCCATCTGCATGCAAACATTGTGAGAGGAAGCTGGCCAGAAGAGTCATACGCCAACAATTTCTACCCTCTATTAGGCTCATTTATTTGAGTTTACAGTTCAAGAAACAAATTTCTCCATATAAAAAAAAACCAGAAAAAGTAAATATACCAAAGCAAACAGCAACGACAAAAAGAGGATGAATAGAGGAAGGCTATTTGCCTATGGAAAGACTGAACTGAACAGGGTCTCCTGTTCAACATCCTCATGGGCACACCTCACCCAGGTACACTCTTTCTATTCATGCCACTCTCCCCTACATATCTCATCTTTAAAGTATTGAATCAATTAGTCCTATGATAACATTTTGAGACATCCACACATTTGTCTCCACCGTAGTTATCAATGCCTTTTTAAAAATGTTACATCATAGTCTCCCCCAAAGCAGTTATAAAACGACTTGAGAAGTAGCCAACCTGGCTGGTATGGTGTGCGTGTTAGAAACCGGGACGTTTCTGTAAGCACTGCTGCTTTTCTTCTCTTTCTCTTGTGACTAGAATGTTAGGCTTTTCAGATCTAGAGATGGGAAAGTCAGGGGAAGAAAAACTATCTTGCTAGTCCTGTCCCCACCCTCTGTGTCTTCTGAAATTCAGTCTCTTATCTGTTGCTTTACAGGGATTCTGTGATACCTGGTGGAGAGCAGCATGAGCTTCTGGGACAGTTTGCCCCTGAAGTTGTTGTATAGGAGGTTCCTGGACATGTGTGGCTTCCAGTGTCCACCTCAGTGTGGCTACGGACTACAACCAAAAGTGGGATTTCTCTGGCCTGAACCTTCCTGCCATCACCCCAGAGCATCTTTGCATCCTTGGTATAGACCACAGGCTGTGTTTGTGGAACTTGGAATCTATAGAATTACTTTAAAACAGACAAACAAACAAAAAACAACAAGGAAATGACTTCCATGGACAGTTAAAATAAATAAATGAAGTAGGATTTCCAGGTTCTTATACCTCAATCATATCAGATCCAAGAACTACGTGTCAGCCTCAGAACAGGTATGGAGTGACCTTCCTCCTCTATAAAGCAAAAGGATGAGAAATTACAACCTTCGGGTTATATGTTTTTGTGAGACAACTCTTTAACCTCCCAGTTTCTGAGTCAGTCAAAGATTACTGGGTTTAAATGTTTTGCCACTTCATTAGATAAGACAGACCTTCCTGGTATTGAATGACAAACATAAGATGATACCTGGCCACTGAGGAGGCACCTTCTGTACCAGTTGTTCTATGGACATTATTGCAAGTGAAAGGTTTTTTTTTTCCCAACTTTCTCATCCATCATTGTGCAAAGTGTATCCAGTCAGCCATAGCATTTTCAAATCCCTCCCACAGTCTCCACAACAGCAGCCCTTCTGAATTGCTGGTAATGAGGAAAGCTCACAACATCCCTCCTTATTGTTCTTGTTTGGAAATGGGCAATAAAACTTTACCACCTCATCATTATCCATTACTTTAAAAAATAAAATAAAATAAAAACAAAACTAATTTACATTTTTTCTGACAGGCATTTTTGACTGACAGTTGTCCACACCTCAGTGGCTGTTCTGTTCGGTGTACTTTAATTTTGAGCTTTCACGTATTTGAGAAGCCCATTCAGAAGTAAATTCTCAGGGAAAATTGAGCTCTGTCATGGATGGATTAGTACTATAATAGTTGGTCACATATCTTGCATGAAACCTTTCAGAAGCAAGGCAAATGAGAAGGAAATGAAATTCATTTCATACTTCTTCAAGCACGCTAAGAGACTTTCTCTCCAAGTAATCTGTGAAGTAGCGCCGGTTTATTGGAGGTTCGTATAACTACCATTACATTATACCTTGTCACAATCTCATGTATTGGGTGACTGCTTTTTCTGAACGGATGGTACCTGCAAAGTGCTCTCTGAAGGCAGTGAACAGCAAGTGTCGTTTCTTTGATCAAAATGTATAGGTCTAGGGAATAGCATAAATAAAAGTACTTGAGCTAAATTGGGCCATTATAGGTCAGAGGTGAATGAAGTCTGAAAAGCAGATATATGTGCAGAGGAATCATCATGTTTGCTTTTTGATATATTGGTAAGCCTGAAACATAAAAGGGAAGGTAACTAAACAAGGAGAAAAGGAGAGAAACAGGGAGAGAGAATCCTTGGACAAAAAAGAAGCAGTTGTAACCTGTAGTCATGAGTGCTACAATACCATGACGTAAACATGTGTGAGGAGTGTGAGCCAATGTCATTCATTTACCATGTGTTAAAAGACTTGCTTTACAAGTCAGGACACCGTGTAAATTACTCAGAAGAAAATAAAGACTGGTGTGACAGTTTTATTTTGGTAGACTCCTAGTCCGTTTTCCCTTTCCACCAATACTAGTGTGAGCCAATGTCATTCATTTACCATGTGTTAAAAGACTTGCTTTACAAGTCAGGACACCGTGTAAATTACTCAGAAGAAAATAAAGACTGGTGTGACAGTTTTATTTTGGTAGACTCCTAGTCCGTTTTCCCTTTCCACCAATACTATTTCTTTGATTAACTTACTTATTTCTCTAGAAGCCCCGGCCAGCCTTGAACATACTATGAATTAGAAGTTAACCTTGGATTTTAGATTCTCCTGCCTCCACCTTCCAACAGTACTCCATCATACCTAGCTTTTTTGGTACTGAAGTACAGATCGAGGCCTTCATAGCTTCTCTGCCATTTCTCAGGTGAGCAATTCTCCAGCCGTTGTTTTTTAGGGTAAAACAACAAGAAAACTAGACCCACAAGAAAAAAACCCAGACTATAGAAAATGTAGAGACAAAGTTCAATTTGCAGTTACTTTTTTATGAACCCTAACCAAACAAACAAAAACGACGGGATCAAGTCTTTCCTGGCAAGAATTAATTCTCTCTTTGAGGTCTGTGCAACTTGCTGCCTTGAGGTGGTTGATGAGACAACCTGAAAAGCACCATGGTAGCTCTAGGGGGCATTTTCAGCATATAAAAAGAACAGAGTCCACATGAGGGTTTTCATCCCTTTCCTGATTAATTTGACTGAAGCCCCAGTCAGTTTCAGAAGAGTTGCAGTTATAGTGTTAATAGCTAAGCAGATTAGGTTGACCAAAATGTTTAACATCTGGATGTCTTATCAGTAGCCAAGGTGGCAGAGGCATGCAAACCTGTTCTAGGAAGAGAGGCAGTGACTCCTCAATCTGAAAGGGCCCATGTGATACCTCAACAACAAGCACAGGCTTTATGTGTTCCTATTGGTGACTTCATTACTTTTGTTTCTATTGGAGAACTAATATTTCTCTCAGGCAAAGGAAAGATAGAATACTAAAGCCAAGCTTTGCTGCTCACTTTTGCCTTGTGGGTACCATATAACAAATGTACACATAAGCATATGTATGTGTATATGTACATTGTATATATACACATGTATGTTTGTACATGTATACATATCTATAAAAATAATATATATCATAACACACATATGATTAAACAATTAAACAAACCCTGAAAGACTCAGATAGGGTCTGTTGGACAAGCCCAATACTGAAGTGAAAAGAAGTGTTGTCTCTTTGCCTTTTACAGCTTGTGGTTTTTAATTGTTTTCTGTCAGTAGACATTTCAAATTCTCTTCATCATATATTTCAATGTCCTTTGGTTGCAATGTCCTGAATATTTCATTAGGACTGGTGTTCCTAAATACTGTATGTGAAAGCTATCAAAGGAAATAGCGTAGGGAAAGGGCAGGACAAATGTCCGTTGCCACCCTCTCTACCTCTCTCCAGAATGTTTTGCTATTGGCACAAAGGGCAAGGAGAGGAATAGAACCCACAGGTCGTCATGAGTCACAGACCACAATGACCAATTAAAACATTGCTGGTGATGGGAAGGAAATGGTCATGGGTATTCTACTGCAGGGGGTTAACCATTATGGACAATTATGTATCTCACCCTAAAGCAGGAATGATTAGTGAGTAGATTTCGGCTAACGGTATACTACGGTACTGAAGAGATTGTGGAACAAGCAACCTGAGTCAGAAAGAAAATTAATGAGAAAGTTAAGGTAAAGCCACCTGCTGAGATATCTCATTCTGTCACCAAGCCTAGTTTAAAACCTAAGGGATTATGGGAGTCCCGTGCCACTCTGGTGGACTCCAATTCAGACTGTATGGGAGTTGCTATGAAAACCTGCCTTGATTTCACACCTTCCTGCTAAAAGATGTTATCACCCTGCCAGCTCTCTGAGGGCAAGAAGCTTGCTGGGAGAAGGAAAGCAGGCTGACAACCCTCAAAGGGGCCCCAGGTTTGCAGCTGGCAAAGGCAAAGATCAGAGCCGGATTCGAGACGTTCCTGTCCCACACGGCTTCTGATAAACAGGCACACATTAAAACATTAAGCAACCCTTCCCAGCAATCTCATGTCCTCGGCGTTTCCTTTTTCCTTTCCTGAGCCTTTCTTTTATTAGCCACAGTGATAATGAAGCTAATAATAACCTGCTCATTCCTGCCTCTGGAGTGGCACTTAATAATTTATGATCTCCATTTTCCTCTAAAATTCAACACAATTCACCCTTAGAAAAAGAAAAAAAAAAGAATGAAGTTGCACACAGAGGAAAAAAATGAATTATGCACTAAATTGTAAATATTCCATTTCTTTTGCTGATCTGAAACTCCCCAAAGAAATATGAACACTTGATTTAAATTCAGTTGCAGTGACATTTCCTAGCAGAGAAGAATGCTTGCACAAGTTCACAAGTGTTTCAAAAAGACAACTTTTTTTAGGGGATACTAGTACATTTTAATGTGTTTTGAAAAGCTATCCTGTTTGTGCTTAAATTCCCCAAAATGAATAAAATATTTCTGAGATAAACCCCATTCTTTGCAGAGATGTTATAGCATGTCTGCAAGGTGGAAGTTTGCATGTTTGGGAGGATTTTTCCCCATGCAGCTTCCTGCCTTGAGAGAGGCAAAGGTTACAAAAGTCATTCCTAGCACACTGCAACCTTAATTGACAGACAACTAGCAACGTGATTGGTCACAGCCAAGAGGGATGAGCCAATAAAGTCTCAAAGGGCTAATGATCTTTCTTTTTTATTTATGTTGGATTGTTCCAAGTGTGGCTTTGATATGCCATTGCAAGTTTCCATTCTTGAGTGCTATACAAAATTACATATGATAAAAAAGATATAATATCAGTCCAAGCACTTCAGACTTGTGGGATAATAAGCTACAAATGCAAAGGAAACAACATACTTCTTTGATGATTTTTTTAAAAATGCATATCACATCTACAAAGGTCTTTGAATTGCCATGGCAGGGTTAGCTTACCTCACTGTTTTCTATGAATACAATAAAAATGGTAAAGTTTGCACGTTAGAGTTCAACATCACTGGTTTTTTTTTTTTTCTTTAAATAGGTACCATGATTATCATTACTAAAGAAGTTACAATGCTTAGAATGAGAAACAAAATGACTGGCTAAGATGGCACAGCCTAAAGTCATAAGATAGGAGGCAGGCAGAATCAGGACAGGTAGGATCAGGACCTAATAACAAAACACATATCCCAAACGGCCTCTTCCCAGCAACTCCATTCTTAATGTCCTGGGCTTGACAAAATTACTAATTTTGTTTTGTTTTGTTTTGTTTTGTTTTTTGTTTTGTTTTGTTTTGTTTTCGAGACAGGGTTTCTCTGTGTAGCTTTGCGCCGTTCCTGGATCTCGCTCTGTAGACCAGGCTGGCCTCGAACTCACAAAGATCCACCTGCCTCCCGAGTGCTGGGATTAAAGGCGTGCGCCACCACCGCCCGGCTCAAAATTACTAATGTGATCAAAACTCAAATGTTTACTCAAAACGGAAATGTTGGAGAATCCGGGCCTGGTCTGTCACATGGTGATAGTAGTAGCAGGCTGTAGGAAGCATCTGAAAGAGAGAGGGGGAAGGGGGAGGGAGAGGGGGAGGGAGAGGGAGAGGAAGAGGGAGAGGGAGAGGGAGAGGGAAAGTAGAAAGAAACATTGGCTGGAGGAAGTGACCAGGAACTATCACTGTATGGACAATGAAGATGTGCTTAACCCAAGAGGCTGCACTCTCCTTTCACTTTCATAGAGCACCATGGCCATGCCGAGCAATTCTACCTTAGAAAAACACCAGGATGACAACAATGAGTTAAATGTGCAAGCACACCCACATAAGCAGACATGCACTCAGGCTCTTACACACACACACACACACACACACACACACACACACACACACTCACACAAAGAGCCTTATTTTCAGTTCTCTATTGGAATAAGTTAGATTTTAGAATGCAGAGTTTTGCAAATTATTTTTGTCGATAGGTTCAAGTAGATGTTGTCAAGCTAAGATGCCACTGATTTCTGTCCTATGGGAAAGGAGAGTCTATGCATGGCCTTTTCTCTCTTACAGATAATTAATGAGATCTGCATCTATTAGCAAATTTGTAATATATGACATTGGTATCATAAAAGATTCCATATTAATGAATAAAATGTTTGACATTTATTCATTTTGTATTTTCTAAAGAATAATAATCTAACTGGAAATCATAATTTAGCATACTTAAGTGTGACTTAAATTTTTAAGAGAAAACCCAGAAGAAACTAAACTCATAGGTTTTCTTACTGTATTCCCTGGTGCCTAAGTGGGCTCCCTTATTTTATAACTAGGACCAATTTCCATTTGCGTGTCTTTGAACATTTCTTCGAAAGTGCAGACATTCTCTATGTTCTTAGAGAGCCATTTATTCCCTTTTGGCAGTTTTTATGTGTTACTGAAGAGTCCAAGATGGATATTAACATTTTAAGTTGCCCTTTTAAACATTTTCCACTGATATAGTTCTAAATTTCGAAGAAAGTTAACTAGGTAGTCACTGGAAAGCATTCTTACACACACACACACACACACACACACACACACACACACACACACATACACATGCGCCAACACATAAGTACTTACACACACACATTTTTTCTGAAGAAAAAATTGAACTATCACTTTTGATGATGATTATACAGTCTAATTTTTTTCAATTGCCCATATTTAATATTCTATTTAAACAATATATGCAATGTCAGGATGTCTTCAGTAGGCTTACTATCACTGGGATGAAACACCATGACTGAAAGCAAGGTGGGGAGAAAAGGGTTTTTCTCACAGTTAATAGTTCATCATCAAAAGTAGTGAGATCAGGAACTCAATCAGGGCAGGAACCTAGAGGAAGTAACTGATGTAGAGGCCAGGGAAGGGTGCTGTGTTATTTGCTTGCTCCTTTTGGCTTGCTGAGCTGGCTTTCTTATAGAACCGAGGACCACCAACCTAGGGATGGCACAACTAACAATGGCTGGGGCTGCTCCCCATCAGTCACTAATTAAGAAAATGCCCTAAAGCGGGATATTACGGAGGCATTTTCTTAGTTGTGATTTCTTTCCCTCTGATGACTCTGGCTTGTGCCAAGTTGACATTAAACTAGCTAGAACACAGAACTATGCTTGCTTTAATGTTAGAGAGGAGGCAGACAGTGAGAAGGACTGGGACACAATAGGGACCAAATGCCTCCTCTATGTGTCAAGCCCAGACTGTCTTAAGATGAAGGCAGGTGGTCCCTGAATACAGGTCTTCTAGTGTTTCAACAAAAATTAAACACATTTCCTTAAATTCTCCTATTTCTGAAATGTGGCTTTCAAATTTCTATAAACATCAAATAAGGCAAAATCCAAATCCCATCTACAGGTCACATCTTGTAGTCCCAGTTTATAAACTCAATTACACAGAATTAGGTAAGCCAGTCTATGATATCAAACCACTTGTCCAAGGCTGAGGACATGACCTAATGTCTGTGTATTCTTGAACAACATGTATATATCTCAAACAATGAGTTTTTGAATCCTACAGTCTAAATTTTCCTCAGCCAAGCTGTAGAACAAAAAAAGGTAACATTTCCTAATGGAATCTAAGTTGAAAGGCAGAGGTGAATGCAGAACACATATTTATTGAGAACAATGGTATAAAGTTCTATTATTATATGATTTTACTTTCCTGGGATCTTCAAGAGTAAGACATGGATGTATTATTGGCTCATGTTCATTTTAAGGCTTCCTATCTTTGCTATAGAATCTAGTATAGATTTGCATGATGATAGCTAGTCAGGTCTAATTTTGAATGGTAGCACTGTTTTTTTTCCCTTTAGTCTCTGCTTATGGGAAGTTAGACAATTTTCCTCTCTAATCTATATTAGAGGAAACTGAGAAACAATGTAAAATGTTGGGACATAGAAAACACACTGAGAATAAGTACCTGTGTTTGAAGTTTAGTCAGGAGACTAGAGAAGAAGTGGACAGACAGCACAGAACTTCATCACTGGAGACATAGAAAGAAACATTAAGTCCCACATTATTCCAAGTTTAGTAGTTGGTGGAGTAGACTCTGGTAGTTGTAGGAACTACAGCTTCCTGCTCCCCTTTGAATTGACTTGAATATGGACTATTGTGATAAACAAATGACTTTCATCTAGGATTTACCAAAATTAAGGTGTCTCATTTCACTTCGTTTTTAATTAAACCTGTATTTTGCATGAGTGAGAGGGGAATCAATGCTCAAAAACAAGAGATGGCTAAGTCGTGGCAAATACCTCCTTGCTTAGTTGTTAACACACCTTCCTATTCTCTCTTTCTCTGTGTCTTTTCCACTTACAGAGAGGAGGCTAAGGTATGTGAAGATGATAGTGTTTGAGCAATCACTCAAAATAACAAACGAGAGAAAGAAGAATAAATTACATAAGAATGAATAGCAAAACAGTAAGATGTAAGCAAAATGCATTTAGAGCTAGAAAAAAAAAACATTCAGTAAAGATTGACTGAGTCTGTGGGTCAGCTACAGAGAGTACGCTTAGCATTCATTCTCTGACCACATCTCCAAAAGGGAAACACTTGAATGAGATTATCTAACTATAATAAAATTAAACCATTGAACACATTTTAGACTGAACTTTGTGACTATGATGAGCACTTATTTTTCTAGGCAGCGTTATGTACAACCAGGGAATTTGGTTACAGCTCAGGAGTACAGAAGAAACAAGAGAGGAGGATGCTTGCTAGTTACTTTGCTCTCTGGCTGGCTCCCTGGGGCATGATCAGTTACAGAGCTGGGAACCAGCTCCAAGATCAATGTTGCCACCCACTGTGGGATGGACCATCCTACATCAATTAGTAATCGAGACAATCCCTTACAGGCATGCCCACAGACCAAAATATCTAGGCACTGTTCCTCTGCTGGAGCTTTTTCTCTTAGATGACTAGTCTTTGTGAAGTTTACAATTAAGGTTATCAAAGACAAAGTGTTTATCTTACTAATTCAATAAAACTACTCAATAGTAAAAACATATCAGTACAATTATGCCATAAAAAGCTTCATAAGTAACAGTTAAAAATCCTTTTCTGTTAGACAGGGTAGAGTTAAAATTGCACTGTGACTTGTAAGTTTCTTTAGATTTCTAAATTCTTTGACCTAGAGAAGTGTTTCTTCTCCTTCTTCTTCTTCTTCTTCTTCTTCTTCTTCTTCTTCTTCTTCTTCTTCTTCTTCTTCTCTCCTCCTCCTCCTCCTTCTCCTCTCCCTCCTCCTCCTCTTCTTTCTCTTATTTGCTATCATCATCTTCTCCTCTTCCTCTTGCTCCTTCTCCTCCTCATTCTTCTTTTTGTGTGTGTGTGTGTGTGTGTGTGTGTGTGTGTGTGTGTGTGTGTGTGTATGAGAGAGAGAGAGAGAGAGAGAGAGAGAGAGAGAGAGAGAGAGAGAGAGAGAGAGAAATTTACATCTCCATGTACTTGTTTGTGTGGCTGTGTACACCTATGAACATGTACAGAGGTCGCACTTGGATGCTGGATGTCCTGCTCAACTGTTCTTTTTCTTAAGCCTCTGATAAATATTCTCAATGAATCTGTAGCTTGGTTGGTGACATATTGATCTTCATGTGCTGGAATTTAGGCACTATTAACCATGCCTAGATATTGATGTGTGTCCTGGGTATTTGAACTTAGGTTCTCATGATTTCTCAGTAATTACTCGTATCCCTTGAGCCATTCTTCACAGACTCTGGCCTTTTTCTTTTCTTGTTGTTATTGTTTCTTGATGCCAGTCTGATATAATTACAAAACCCTAAACATTATGTTAGGCTCAGGCAAAATCCTCAATCATATACATTTTTTAAAAGTGCTTCTACTGACACCATTTCTAATCTCCCCAAATTTCTTAATATTAAAACCAGTCATTGTGGCATATGAAACAATGCTTCACATAGAGGATAGGAAGCTCAGATGGCTCATAGAAGATCCAACAGAATATAATATTTATATAGGAAGAAATAAGGGTGGAGAGTCAGTTCAGAGTGAAGAGAGACATACTACCTCATGAACTGGTAGTCTGGCATGGGTATGAGAATCTGAGCTGGAAAAAAATTCTCAATGGCTCCTGGAGCCCAGGAGTGATCAGGATAAACTTCACAGTGTCCAGTTCCAAACAGGACTCAAGATAGGCAAAGCACTGGTGCCCAAGCAGGGCACACAATGAATGTAACTCCACTTAGTATGCCAGAGACTGAACTAGATGATATCAACTTTTTTGAACAATAGTCTGGTCCAAGTCATTGTTAAAAAATAAGAAAATCATGATGCAAATTATATTTCTTGAAATGGAAACATTAATACAGGGAAGAGTTTGCAATATACTAGTCAGAAATCAATTGCAAAACTCCTCTTGTCAACAATAATGTAAAAATACACACAGGCATGTGTGTGTGCACACACACACACACACATATTACAGGGGCAGGGCACAGATCAGTGGCTGACCTCTTGTGTAGCATGCATAAGATCTTGGTTTCAGTCCCAAATACTGCAAGAGAAAACATTTGTACTAGAACATATTGATAGTAGTTATTGTGGATATAGCAAGTCTGTGTTCTTAATAGTCTTCCCTGTGCTCTTTACTCATTCCCTACAATGCTCATGTTTGTTTTCTATTCATCCCTTTATAGAGTGATAATACTGCAGAGTAGTTCTGTCAGTACTTGTGTGGCTATTGTCTGCAATAACTTTAAGGAATTCAGTATCAAAATACTATGGATTCTTAAGAATGGCACACTAAAAGCTGAGATTAAGTGAATGTGTTTGTCATTGTGTTCTCATAGCTAAGACATGTTTATGTTACAGACTCCTTTCATTGGCAATTAGTGACACCTCTATATATGTGGCCAGGTGAACCTGCCTTGCTATAATATTTAAGCCAACTTTAGAATTCATAAGTCTATGCCAGTGAACATACCACAAGCTTTCCTAGTGCCCTAAAGGGGACAGGAGAGGCAACAGTTACTAGTGACTATGTTTTGTGCTCCACATTCTACAAACTGTTTTTATCAATATGTGATAACTTTGAAAGACAAATCTACTTGCCTTTGAGTAGATGGCTAGCATGCAAGGTCATAATCAGGAGAGTCACATTGGGTTAAATCTAGAAGACACATAATAAAGTGAAGAATTGACATAATTAGATATAACTCATCAAAGTATCTAACTCTTCCCGATAATAAGGCCTCTGGGTGAGTTATTTTCACTGACTTATCAGGTTTGGCTATCATCCTGTAAAAGTAGATCAAGTTAATAAGTTAATTGTCAAACTTGTTCATACCTTATGGATCACGTATGTACTCTCAGGAATTTGATTGGCACTCTGGGAGACTAGAGTTACAAACTGAGTAAACAGGAGCAATAACTGAGAGTTTGCTGGAGACAGTAGAGAATATGGTATTTATGACTAAGCCCAGCAATTGTCTTTGGAACCAGATGTCAGAATTGTTAAAGGGATATACTATTAAGATGCATCTCTCCAAAGTTGCCTAAAACCCTTTTTCCATTTCACAAAACCAAACAGGGAATCAACAATTTTAATTTGACTTTTATAGAGAAAGGATAATCAAAAACAACTTATATTTTTAAATGTACTGGTCAAAAAATGAGAGAAGCTATATCGAGTGGCATATAAAACACACTTTAAATAACAGTATTTAATATTTTATATTTTCATTAGATAATTGCCATTCAGATGCCTGAGTGGTGAAAATGGGTTTATGAAAAGAATCATAATATGAATATGATAATTACATCCTCAAAATGACATTTATTGGCATTCAGATCTTATTATATGCTCTCAGCCAAAAACAGAAATAAGTTAGATGATGTTAGTTATTAGGCAAAGGCATGGTTTTCCATTATACAATATTTAGAAAGTTCAGAGTGTTTCCAAGGCAACCACCTATACATTTTCTTGCAAACAAGCATCCAGAAAAGTTTGTTCATTATTTGAAATTTTATTTGAAAGACATGAAACAAATGTATCTTTACAAGTCCTCTTCTATCTCTATCCAAAATTCACATTAAGTAACTGCTCTTGGTGGAGGAGTTGTTATGAGAAGAAAACTGGAGAGGAAATGTTTTTTGAGTGAATCATTCCAATCCTCAATGATCAGGTCAAGAACACTCTCTAGTCACCTACAACAGTCTCCTTTGTCACTGGTAGAGGGACAAACCCAGTGACTTAAAGGAAATATGCCCAGGAGTCAAGGAACAAGGAAAGTCTCTGGAGTGAGGAAGATGGTCTGGAGTACAGAAGGATGCATACTATGTGTCCCTGGGAACAGCAGCAGTGAGAGAATCTAAAATTTCCTGAAGTAAATATTATCAAGGTCCAGGCCAGATGCTAATAGTTTCTGTAGAGGTAGAGTTCAGTGATGCTCAAGGTAATCAGTCTTTAGATGTAGACTCCAAGTCACAAAATGTTCAAAGAGGGTAGAATCTCTGTGTTGGTGGGATGGAAGAATGTGATTATTGAGAGTTGAAGGCACAACTCCAGAAGCCTGGAGACGATAAGGCAATGTGGAGTGAATCCATAGCCTCTCTGGGAAGTCATCTATTACTACCCAGGTCGCTCTTCGCATGACTTTGTTCTCCAGTTAACCATGAGATCTCTAAGAGCAGAGACCAGATTTTAATTCTCCTGTCTCAGTGCTTCCCACATGGAGAGTTCCCAGAGAACATATGGGTTGTGAAAATGGCTCAGAGAAATGATAAATGAGTAGAAAGACAGGCTGACATATATATCTTTTAATAGAATGAAAAATTGTCAGGTCATTTTCAACGGCCCTATAAATATGCTTGTATCTTACCTTCTAGTATTGCTTCATTCTCAGTTTTGTCAGCTAGAAAATGGCCACAACAAGTTCTATTGTAATGATCTAAGTGCCAGGCAGAGGCAGAATGGTTACTGTGAGTTAGCCTGTGCTACACAGTAAGTCCTAGGCCAGCCTGAGTTTCCATG